TTGCGTTGCGTTTTTTCTGCAGACCACTACACATGTATGGCGTGGACATGACACAAGAAAACTTGTGCCATGTTCACACTATGCATGTGCAGTTGTGTTTAGAAAAAAGCAGCTCAACGGACATGGTGTTCAATTAGTTGTGGCTGGTGCATTCCTCACAACAAAGCTACACATCAAAATGGGTGGGGAGTCCCAACTGCTTCAACTGATTGGCCCAGGAAGGGTGTGTACCAGTTACAGTTTTGCGTGGGCTTGGACAAACTCAGGTGAACTAGGTACACACCTAGCCCCCACACATCATTAATTGGGAAACTTTTCCCAACTGTTTTGTCTAATCTTGCTTTATGGAAGAAGAGACTCTGTTTTAGTCACTTGATTAGCTCCAGTGTTCCAATAAATTATGAACTGTCAGGAGCAGTCATATCATATGAGCAGCATTCACCAGCACAGATGATTCCGAATATCCCATAAACCCTTCTAGAGAAACCAAAAGTTATCATGAGAGTCTTGTCATATTTTATTATTTCTCAGGATGTTTTTTGCTGTGCAGCTTTATAATTGCAGCAGAGGCCGGGAGAGTGACAATATGAACATCACGTTAGTGTAAGTATGGTTATATTCATTGTCATGGAGCTCTGCAGGAATTCCCGATAAGCAAACACTCTCCAGCAAAACTCAAAGCAGACCTTGAATGTCACATTCTAGTAATAAAATGTACATGATCACTTTATTTTATAAAGTAAATGTGTAAATACAGTCCCTGTGTTACACTGTGGTATAAAAACCCTGGTCGCATTCCCTCCATACTGCTGTGGAATTAGGATAATACTGAACTGATAAAACAGCCCAGTGCTGACAGAGTTCCTGGTATGGAAAGTCAGTCCTTTTAAGTATTGACTTGCATATACATCTGTGAAAGTCTCAGATGTCTCTATACAACCTTAAAGCCCATTTCCACCTTTGTAGCATTTATTGTGGTAATGTTAGAGACGCAGTAATGATGTATATGCGTGTACATTTTCGGAAAGCCGCTAATGTGTGAACATAGTCTAATGTGGCTTCTTGTGATGGTGTGGCAATGATCCTGCACTGCTCCTGAATTCAGAGCAGAGTTGTCACTGTCACATAGGCCGTGCCTGCTTAGTGCAAGCAGGGATAAAAAAAACTTGCAGGGGGTGTGGCTATCAGCATTGCCACTACCAAATCGCAAGCCTGTTATTTGGTAGTGGCAATGTCAATCAATAGCTGGCGACACCTAGTCCTGCCACTACTTTCTGGATTGACATCCCTGCCTCCCACTGTGATCTGCATTGTCTGAGAAGGGGAGCCTGTGAGACACAAATGATAGAGGATTTGGCTCAGACAGGAAAGGCGAAGGAAGCTTCATGTTTACTTCATTTGTGCATTACACAGTAACTGCATTTGGTACTTGTTTACATTTTCATAAAGGAGCCTTTAGTTGTACTTGAAGGAGCTTACATTAAGGACGAGCACAACAATTTGATATTTTTTCATAGTCCAATGAGCAGACATTGGTTCTACAAGCCACAGAGTGGCAGTAGGAACAGTTCTATATGCTGGTTATGCAATGTGGAAGGGGAGCGTGAATCACAAGAACAGCTGAACATTGTCACATAAAACAATTGACATATATCTACTTCAACTATTTAGCGTAGTTGTGCTTCATCCTTTCTTACTTTTGAAGCTCAAATACGGAACTTCTGAAGCTCATGTTAAAAAGAAATTAAAAGTACGAGTAACATAACTTTATAAAAGTTTACTGTTGATTTTTGCCCACACCGAAGCTCTTTTCAGAGACAAACTCAGATTTAGTCCCATAAAAGCCTAGACAAAGTATATCTACAGAACATAAACGTGTCACATTTCGATAAAACACTGCTCTATCACCTAGATGTACTTTCTCAGACATGACACTGGCCTTTCTTCAATTTAAGCTTTTGAAGCTCTTGTCTATTAAACGCCGCAGTGTTCCCTTTCCTGCCTTATTGTTCCATAAGAATGATGTAGTGTGTTTTGGGCTGTCAATCAGAGTTCCATAACACAGACGCTCTGTGATGAGCTAGGTGTGAATGTGACAACATATTTATTGCAAGACTGCACTTTGTGTTCCCGTCTGTCATTCAATGTGCCGTTCTATTTTACGACATAGCAGAATGCACTGACCCTATCATTCTTTGAAATAATCCTTAATTATACCTCATAAAGCTTGGCAGAAAATAGTCTCTGCGAACACGAAGACTCCTTAGACAGTGGTATAAAAAGGAGTTATTTTCTGCTACATTAAACAAATGTAAATGGCTTATTATGAGTATAAAATTATAGATTTCAGTGTGAGAATGCAAATCTATTTTCCTGGCTTGGTTGCTGAAATGTGTCAGTTGTTTTCTGTAACTTTCATGATTCCCAATCTAATTGACTAGCTAATGTCTGTAATTGTCAATGCGAGTCTCGCCTCCCATTGCTTTGTAGATTTACAGCAGAAACAGAAACTTAATTTACTTCTCAGACCAGTAATGGGCCATCAGTGCCAGTGCGGCCATATGCAGAAATGCATATCAGTGCTATCTTGCATACCTCATTGACTTGTTATACTGAGACACACCCAAAGCTGCCATATTATAGAACTGTATTCATTTCTTAAAGTTTATAGTTTGGAGTTCTCCAAAGAGCAGCAGTCACGATCATTGAACATGATTATACTTTCTGCATCATGAAGTACACACACATCTCAGGCCAGAGATATCATTTTTCTCCATAGCGGCAGCTGTGGCTGCTATAAGGCCAAGAAAAAAGGGGGGCTCATAGACAATTACTTCAATGCTCATGGGGCTTGAGAGGTCTATCAGTACCACTGTTGCATGTAAAGGATTAAGGGAGATTTTTTACACTGCAGTTGCACCCTATTCTCTCATTTGGAGGGACAATCTCTCTTTTATAACAATATCCCTCTCTTCCCTATTCCTTCTCAAACGTCCCTCTTTTAAATCTGGTATATTGGAATGTGTTACTATATGTACCATTTAGCTGCCATAAGTGTTTATAGTACTAAGCATTCTTCCATCCTTCAGATTATTGCACTGGTTATTTTCAAATCATGATACAAAGGAAAAGTATTGTTAATATTATTATTATTTTTATTCAGGATTAATATAGCACCAACAATATAAGGAATACATTAAAGTTACAATCCAATCCAAAACAAGATGGTTAGGAAGGCCCTGCCCGTGAGAGTTTACAGTCTAAAAAGGGGAGGGGCAAGTGATACAAGAGGTGGTAACTGTGTAGGAATGAGTTGTTTGAGAAAGTGATAGTTCAGTGTTTGGGTAGAGTGGAATAGGCTTCCCTGAAGAGATAAGTTTTCAGGGATTGCCTAAAGGCAGAGAGAGTGGGAGATAGCTGGGCAGGTTGGTGTAGGGAGAGACGCTAGAAAAAGTCCAGGAGGCAAGAATGGGAGTAGCTTTGAAAAAGGCCCCAGTTGATTAGAGCAATCATTTTTGCCCCTTAATTTGTCATAATTCACATAATTGGGCATGTGGTAGGAATGTACCCATTGCCCAGATAGTCTAGGCTAAAAGATGTCAATTTGTCCAACCTCAAAAGGTTGGGAGATATGGGTTGGCTACCCTTGCACACCCTAAAGCCAACTTTGAAGTGTAATGGCTTGACTGTACCAGAGGTGTGGAGTCTAGTGAAGATAGCTTTGTAATTTCATCCAAATGTTGGTGATTGTGGGTGGAGGTTAAAATGGCTGCACAAAGATTCTAAGTTCCCTTAATATTTAAGTTATACTTTGTAGGGAGATATATAGGTCTTATCTAGTGTTTGATGATTGATTTACATACCATAACAAGATAGGGGATCTACAATATAGCCATAATAAGAAGTTCATGGTAGGAGTACCTGTATCCACCACACTAAATGCAGTGTAGTACCCCATTTGTCAGACTGTCCTCGAAACTGCTGACATAATTAGCTGCTGTTTGGTGCCTATACTACTAAACCCTGAAGATTTTTCTATTCTTTTTTCTAAACAAAAGAAAGAATACATAGCCACATGTTACAGAACATGTCCATTAAGTATTAGAATAGGCTAAACAGAATCAAAGTTATAGGGCTCTGCCATGTCTAGGTAATCTGTTGCCTGACGCCAACAATTCCTTATATGAAACTGTGACTTTGCTCCACATATTCTGCAGTTAAAGTAGTATTACCTCTCAAATGTTTTTCAATAATGAATGCAGATCAAACAAATATACATTAGCCCAGCAAAGCATTTCTTTACATTGTTTTACCCAAGCACTTACGGTCATCATGTTTCCAAATAGCTTGGAGGAGCAGGGAGTGAGAGGCTTGCCTTGCTGCGCCTGTGTTCTTGTGGAGACACACACAGCTTACTAGCACACACAAGGGTGGCTCTACAGGATCCTGCAAGGGAAAAGAGCCACCCTAAAACAGGATATCAGGACCAGTGCTCAGAGGACCCGCTGATTCTGCAGGAAACTAAATATTAAGGAACAGCATCTATTGTAAGTGACTGACTCTGCATTTGAAATACCTGAAAATCCTTTTGACTTTAATATCACTTTAAGTTTATCTCAAGGCAAAGCATAATGTGCAAAGTGCAGTATCCAATAATCAGAATTCATGATTTAACAATCTTTCTGTAGTTCACTTAAATCTGACTGACTTAGATATACACTTACAGGGCTATTCACAAAGGGTGAAGAGTTTGGAGAAGGCAGGAGAAGTGAACAATCCAGGACAACATAGCTGATTTGGAAAAATTCTCCAATTCAGCTCACCTTCCATTTCAGCTATGTTGTCCTAGATTGTTCACTTCTCCAAACTCTCCAAACTCTTCACCCTTTTGTGAATAACCCTGTTATTGTATCATGACTGTTATGTGCACTGTTTTAATTGAGAACGCCTTACTGTATTATATAGTATTGCATTGAATTATGTTGTAGAGCAAAGCTCACCTGGGACACCAGCCTGCATCCAGAAACTAATGTCTGTTCCTTCCGCATTGTCGTACAGTTTGGTTATATTGATAGGTGCCAGCAGCTTCATGACTTCTGACATGATGACCCGGGCTTCTGGCTTTCCAGAAAACTGCATACCAACAGGCATAAATGTTCCTATATCAGACTCCATGACCAGGTCCATGTTTCTAATGTCTTTCTGGATATAAAAAAAAACAAGAGGGTCAAATATAATGTAAAGAAATGTAAAACATACTAAAGGCAACTTTATCAGAAATACACTTTACAAACTATTTCTATCGTTTTTTACTACACTTTTTCTGGGTTTTCTGGTCCAAATGCATTATTTGTTCACTGTTTTGGACTCCACCATACATTATTAAAAAAAAAAGAATACTTCCCATGTAGCCCATCATGGTAGTGAGCTTGGAGTGGTGGCTACTTTACAACACACACAGGGATCATGGTAAACATAAGTAGCCACCCTCCAGAAGGAAGGACAGTGTCAACACCAATTCAGAGATGATTTGAGGATCTACAGCCGAGTGATACACAAATAAGATACATTTTTAATGTAATGTAATGTTAAACATTAAGGTACTTGAATGCATTTTTAACTCCTGAGTTTAGGGTCACTTTAATGACATGCCACTTGTGAATGGGCCCTGGTCTGGTAAAGTCAGTCTGAAGCCCCGTTCACACATAGGCGTTTTGGAGCTCGAAGCTACAAAACGCTCAACACAAGGAACCCCGATTGCTGTCTATGGCCCTTGTTCACATCTGACCACTTAGGTGTAAATGGTCACTTAATGTTAATGTTCTACATTAAGGTTTTTTGGCCTATTGGATACATAGTTTTTGCTTTTAAAATACTCTGTCACCTAAACAAGAAAAAGGCTAGTGGGTATAAAATGCAGCTTTTATTATCTTCTGCTATGTCTGAATGCTGGAACATTCAACATAGACAAAGCTCTGACATTTCCGGGTAGTGGCAAAGTGTGCCCTCCCCTTCACGTTGCAATTGGCCCATCACTATGATGGGTCGCCTCTCTGGCTAGTAGATCTGTGTGTGAGGTTGGCGAGGGGAGGGAGGCAAGCTTCATCACTACCAGAAATGTCAAAGTTTTGACAGTTAAGTACAGCCCAGCATGTGGTCATAAACAAAGGCAAAGAGAGCTGCTGCAGGTATGTGCTGTTGCTTCTAGGCAACTGAACTTTATATTTCCTAGAAGATTTCTTTTGTTTAAGTGACATTATCAGTGCAGCAACCCCAAGAGCTGTTTTAAAATCAGATTTCAAGATTCCTAACAATTTCAAGTGAGCACGACCTGTATCCCACAATGGGAAACAAAGACCTGTAAAGCATTTTTTGGAAGGTGTAGGAGGGGGTTATAGAAAAAAAGGTAAAACCTGAGCTTTACTGTAAAAAAAAGCCCACGGTTTAGAGCGCTAAGTATGCAGCTAAAGACTGGAGTGAGAGAAATCGATCTCTACAAACTCGATAGTAATTTATAATTTTCATCATAAAAAAAAGACAACGGTCAAAATTCAGGTCATACGTTTTTACAGCAAAGACTGACATATACCATTTAAAAAGTTCTAGGGTAAGGCTTCTCAGACTGCAGAAAATGAGCCAGTTATTTTAAATTCTACTTGTACTTTTTTGTTCCAAAAAAAAAAAAGTGACAGAACATGTTCTCTGTCCAAAGTGAGCTAATGACAAAGAGCCATAGTATTCTCTATAATTACCATATCCACTTCCCTGGCAATCCCATGCACCGATTTGCTGCTGTGATTACTCTTTTAACCTATCCTTAGATGAAGTTTAAAATCCTTTGTGTGTTGTGTTAGTGTGTAATTTGAAGTCAGATCACTAAATCATGTCTCAGTTATTCCACGAAAAGTATTCTCTACTGGAAATTAAGAAAACGTATACCGTGGTTGTGTACTGGCTTATGCTGGAAGTTTGTAATTCAACTCATACTTACTACAAATGTAAATATGATGTACAATATGTTTCATATGCAATTGGTGATATACATAAAGGACCTTTGAAAAAACATGTATCTATATTTGGCTAAATGCAGGACTCATTTTATTCCACAACCTAAAGCCAATATGTCACCAATAAAAGAGCATTTGGATATGGCAAGCCATAGAGAGCACAGAGTGTTCAGATGTGCATATGAGATCTGACTTTCTGACGTGGTCTTCTTGGCCAGTTTCTGCCCTAAGAGGGAACACTTTAGTTACATCTGATTAATGTCGGAATGGGCACTGGGCCATGGGGCAAATGCCCCCCAGTAGAGTCCTCTCCTGGCTTTTATGTCTAGACTATATTCAGGGGCAGCACTAAAATGAAGTGATAACTGTGCACTCCAGAAATACATATAACCCAGCTGCTGGATAGCAAGTCATGCTAAGAATCCAAGGTCCTCAACAATTAAGGTCGTGTTCACACTAGCCCCACACGTGAAATGTTCAATGCGTTTAGGCACGGTTTGCTTTGTTTCAGCATAGGGAAGCCCATTCATTTCAATAGGCTGCCCTACACGCATGCAGTAATTTGAGCTGTGAGGTTCATGCGCTTTTTAAACACGTTTTTGCCAATCTTTCGTTCGACGACGTGCGTTTTGGCTGCCGCAATTGAAGTGCCATTAATAAATAATGGCACAGAAGGCATGAACGTGCACCAAACTGCATGCTTTTGCATGAGTTCACTCATCAATAGGTGGGCACATGCTTAAGATACAGCAGCTTGACCATATTTGCCACATGATTAACTATAACTAAAGTTAACAAATATAAAATTGACTTTTTGGAGAATGTCCTTTACAGACGTAAAGCAATGTCCAGAAACCTAATATTGTTCTACATGTGCCCTGAATATGCTGCAGAGATAAACAACAGTAAACTGTATTTTTGCTGATGAAAATAAGAGAGTGCAGCCTGCTAATTTCCTATTTATAACCTAGCAGCATGTGCTTTTAATACTAAGCCACCCACATCATACCATTATGTCCCTTGTTAAAATGCACACGCTTTTCATAACTCACAAATTATTAACACATGGTAAGAAAATTAAGATTTAGAAAATTACTATTAAACTATTTTTGTGTTTTTCACATGGGTCATAAAGTATTTTAAAGACTTGATTATATATAAATGTGTATTGCTTGTCTGATAAGAGCAACATGTGAAAGGAAATAGCCTTTAGCAACTAATGTGCTATCCTCTTTCATTCTTAAGATTACATTATATTTACGAAAGGTTGATTCTCATTAGTTTATTTATGTTACTGCACTTTACGTATCATCATTGCTCAGTACTATATTATTATACAAGCCCATCAGGAGTTTTATTTTCAATCTGTGTCCTTTGGGGGGGATTTGTTTTTTGCTTCCTTTCCTATAGACCCAACAGGAAGTGAGGGGAAATATTTGTAAATAGAGGAAAATCCCCACTTAGACAATTGTCACTAGAATAGGTGTCCCAATTAGAAGATTCCCTTTTTATTTCTGTTCTGGTGAAGTAAAAAATGTGGATTTTCCCTCAGTGGACACACTGGTACGATTGGTGGGGGAGTGCATATGTGTGAGCTGAGGCACTGTCACTGTTCTGAATGGCTACAGTGATAATGTCTCTTTAAAGTGATTGTTTATATAAAAAATGTTTTTAAAAAAAGGCTCCTCTGCTAAGAAAAGGGGTTAATGTTTTCCACTCCCATCCACCCATGCCACCACTCTTGACTCTCTTCAAGCACTAATCTGCCTGAAAAATCTTCAGCATCTGACACTTCTGGGGGTGTTGGATGTCTGATCTCCCTCTGTTCTATGCGGTTCCTTCTGCTAGCCCCTGTGGCACTATAGCAGTGGCATAGCAGCCAACAGAAGGAACCACAGGATGCAGTGGGGATCAAGCATTCAATGCACCCACAATTTTGTTCAGTGCAGTAGCCAGTGAAGCGACAGTGGAGATTAGGGCGCAAGCAACAGGAAGGATAAGTACTCATTTTTTTGTAACTTTTTCATAGCCCATACATTATTATGATGTTTGCGCAGTGCTTTATAAAATGGAGGGAAACAGTACATTTACAATGCAATTTCAATACAGGAGGGTTAGGAGGGCCCTGATCGTAAGAGCTTACAATCTAGTAGGAGGGGAAAGTGATACAAAAGGTAATAATTGTGTGGGATGAGTTAAAGGAGAATTATGGGATGTGTTTTTCATAATTCAAGGCAATTCTATTAAACGGGAAGTCACATACAAACACATACCGCCAATCACTGGCCTCCCGATCCTCTCCCTGCAGAGAGCGGTGACTGTCAGTCACCGCTCCCCGCAAGGATTCCCTCCCTCCCCTCTCAATTTCTCCAGCGCTGACTGGAGAACGGACAGGGGGCGAGGGGGCACAGCTGGCTCTGCCTCTAGGGAGGCAGAGCCAGCTGTCAATCAGCCAGTAGGGTGCATCTGGACAGTATTGTCGGGTTCCGTCCCGGCTGCAGCGCGGCTCTGCGCTCCCAGCATATAGCGGCCAACAGCCCGCTATATGCTGAGTTTTAGGTCACTGGAAGACATGAATCCTTCTGTGACCCTGAAGGTTCTTTTTTACTGGAAGAAGTAAAAGACAGTGATTATATTGAGGTGGGATAGGCTTCCCTGAAGAGATGAGTTTTAAAGGATTGCCTAAAGGTGGACAGAGTAAGAGATAAACTGACAGATTGTGGTACGGAGTTCAAGTAGATGGGAGAGGCTTTGCAGAATCCTGCAGGTAGGAATGGGAGGAGGCGACGAGAGAGCTGGAGAGCAGGAGGTCTGAAGTTGAGCAGAGAGGACGAGAGAATGAGCAGAGAGCAGAGAGAATGTTATTGTTATTTGTACAGAGCTCAGGCATTATGTATGTGAGAACTTTACAAATAATACATTCCACTGTAGATGCTATGGTAACCATCATTTATATATACTGGTAGACACATAGAATACCTATGAGCTGTAACTGGGAGGTGGATGCAGTTAAAGGTCATGAAAAGTTTTCTTTTATTTATTATTACCGCTCTCTGAAATGGTCTTCCTCTGCATGGTCTTCCTCTGCACTACGGTCTGAGCATACAACAGAAAAATAAAGCACGGTTCAGCAGCATGGCCCCATGAGAACCGCAATTATAATGCCAAAAGCCATTCTTGGCAAGTGTTTACGGA